CACTTAAAAATACTTATAAAACAATAAACCATATTTCAAACCATATGCTCTTTCAAACCATCAATATTTAAATCTTTTTAATACTTTCAAATAATAAAATAACTTTCAAATTATGTAAATTATATATTTATAAATATAAAACATATATATATTAATATTTTTAAAAACAGACTAAACTGAGTCATTGGATACTCACCCTAATTTTATCCTCGAAACATCTTTTGTTTTTTCATATTCTTTCAATATCATTATTTTTTATGTTTTATTTCTTTCACAATATAAATATTAAATTAACTAAAAATATCAGGATTTATTAATCTATAATCCAAAATATAAATATAATTAATAAGAACATAAGAGATTTTAAAATCATATCTAATATAATTTTCATGAACTTGATCTAAATTCATTCGGTATCAAATCAAGTCATCCATAGTTTTCCTCTTATTTTTCCTTTTATTTTCTTCCCTTTTCTTTTTCTTTTTCTTTTTCTCTTTCTTTCTATTCTTTCCTTCCTTTCTCCACGGCCGAAGCGTTTCCTCTCTCTTTCTCTCTCTTTCTTTCCTTCTCCTTGTCGTTCTCAATTTAAATTGGGACCTTTCATGTGAGTACAACTACATGAAGATTTCGGATCGTAATAAGATAAGTGGTTCACCCATTTCAACTTATTTTCATCAACGTGTTTTTGTACGTGAGTATGCAAGATTACATGCATCAACTCGAAAACATGCATGCCAACAATCGGTGATATGCATGTAACACACATACATGTGCAAAATTATATTATTTATTATATTACATCGTTTATTATAACAAAAATTTCATTTCAAAATAATTGGCTAAACTCAAATAAAATAAATCAAAATTTCAAGTAATGACATAAAATTCATGACAAAATACATAAAACCTTTTGAAACATCTATTGGATCATACCTTATAAAAATTATATATTCGATAAAATCAAAGTTTAAAAATAAAAGTAAATAAAAAATAAGAAAATAATTATTGTTGATAATAGGGCCCCATGTGTTGCTTAGGGATCCATTTAAGGAAGTCGCATGTGGTATTCTCCCTCAACACTTAAGGATCCATGGTGAAGGGATGGAACAAAAACATTTTGCCGTCGGGATTTGCATCTCTTTCACCAGTCACCTCATCCATGGAACCGCCGCCAAGATGGAGAGAGTACATCCTCCACTCAATCTGTAGAAAGATAATGTTGTGGCCCGGGTGGAATCCGAGCGGCAAGATAGAATAGACCCTTTCGTTGCTTATGACGTCGGTGCGATTCTTTGTGCGGTTTGATCAGAGATTGGCTACTGCAATTATGCTTCAGTTTCCATACTCTTTTACCATCCTCCCTCAGATGTGTAGCTCGTGGTCATCGCAAAAAGCAAAGTGAGCGAGTCCACGAGATACTCCCATGAGACTCCGAACCTGTCTGTTCCTTCTTTTATTCAGTGCGGAACTAATCCAAAAGATATTTCTCGTCCTCTCGGATGATTGCATTGTTTTGGGTAATTATTGTCAACAGCAACGTTATAAAGATCAAACGGTGTTGATACATGTTGGGAAGATGATAAATGTAGTGGGACTGACTCCGGACAACATGCATTGATATTTTAACAAATTTATTTTGACTTAAATTGAAAGACAGAAAGGTTATCATTTTTTTTGAATTCAAATTTGTTATATTTTAAAATAACATATAGACATTAAGAGTTTAGTTAAAACCTCGTCGTCATCATAAAAAATGAGAAAATTATTAAATTTCAGATTTTGATTATGAAATCAATTGATAAATTTATGAATTAATGAACGTTTGAGAAAATTAACGTAGGACAAACTTCGATCATGAAAAGGTAATCAGACGTTGGGTTGGAGATCATCATATTAGAGATCGGGCATTCGATCGGAAGGATCGGACATTGCATCAAGAAGATCAAATGTTACGAGAGGTCAACATGCCGATGGATCGGACAATACGCTAAAGGAAAAGACAATACGCCGGAAGTTCGGATGAAATGTCGGATGAGCTAATAATACGCCAAACAACATAGGCTTCAATATTGTAATTGTTATGTCTTAATCGAAGTAGTTTAGAATCTAATTGAGTTGGTTTTGGGTGTAACCATGATAACTTAATTAGGAGCCCATTGAGTCTGAATCAGGGTTGAATTGAACTTGTTAGAAGATCAATTTAGTGACCTAAGGTTGGGCCAAGCGGTGATACCGCTTGTGAGCTGAAAAGTACATATTGTACTTTTTCGAGAAACTCGATGGTAATACCGCCAAGGTCAGTAGTAGTATTGCCCAAACTAATAGTGATATCATTAGAATACAGTCTCTCAGGCTGTGTCAAGCGATAGTATCACCTAGTGCAAACAGTGGTACCGCTAGTACCTCAAAAACCCGAGGATTTGAATTTTTGGCTCCATTTTTTAAGCCATTTGAGCCTATAAATACCCCACTCATGCTTGCTTAAAAAAGGATAAAAAATTTATAATTTTAAAGTATTGTAAACTCATGAAAAGTATCGAGTCTCTTCGTCTTTGAGTTTAAAAGTTATTCTAAGGGAGGTGTGAGGTCTTTTATAAAAGAGGGATATAAGTGTTCTCTCGTAAGCCTATAAAAATGAAAAAGAGTTATAATATGAGTAGTTAATATTCACTGATTGAAAGTAGATCGGTAGTGAAAATTAATAGTCTCGAAGGAAGATGAATCGGGAGTGAATGTAGGTCGGGACGACCGAACCACTGTAAATCTAGTTTGCATTTCTCTTTATGCTTTTCCTTGCTATTACTAATTGATTTAGTTGTTCATTACTCTTACTCGCATTCTAAATTAAAGATACAATGATCGAAATTTTTAAAAATTAGAACGTTATTTCGAAAGTACTAATTCACCCCCCTTCTTAGTGTCTTTATAATCATAACAATAACCTGGTTTATATTATAGTTATACTAACTAGACAACTATCATATGATGAAAAATTATATATAAATTAGTTTCTTCCTAAATTTAGAGTTTAAACAAATTAATTTTGCCTATCTTTTCAAAACGAATGCACTCATATATTATTTTTCTAATTATTTTTAAATATAATATTAGATAAATATTTTCATATAAACTCTGATCAGATAACTTAAAAATACTTATAAAACAGTAAACCGTAGTTCAAGCAATCGATATTTAAAACTTTTTAATACTTTTAAATAATAAAATAATTTTTAAATTATGTAAATTATATGTATTTACAAATATCAAACACATACATTAATACTTTTAAAAACAGACTAAACAGAGTCATTGGATACTTACCCTAATTGTATATCTTCGATACAAACATATAATTGTGATCTCTCCTTTTCTTATTCTTGTAATATCATTTTTTTTTTATTTCTCTCATAATAGACATATTAAATTAACTAAAAACATCAGAATTTATCAATCCATAATTCAAAACATAAATCTAATTAATAAGAATATAAGAGATTTCAAAATCATAACTAATATAATTTTCATAAACTTGATCTAAATTCATTTGGTATCAAATCGAGTCATCTATAGTTTTCCTCTTATTTTTCCTTTTGTTTTCTTTCCTTTTCTCTTTCTTCTCATTCTTTCTCTTCTTTCCTTCCTTTCTCCACAGCCGAGGCCTTTCCTCCTCTCTCTCTCTCTCTCTCCCTCTTCTTCTTCTTATTCTTCTTCTTCTGTTCTCCTCCTCTTCTTGTTTCTCCCTTCTCTGCTTCTCTTTCTTCCTTTGGAGCCTCTCGTGAGACAGGCGATTCCGAGAGCGGAGGCGGTGGCATGTAAAATCATATATTTTTTGACCTCTTTACAATTTATTCCCTGCAATTCTTTTATTTAGAAATAGATTCTCATTTTAAATTTGGAGTATTACACCTTTCATGTGAGTACAACCACATGAAGATTCCGGATCGGACTAAGATAAGTAGACCACCCATTTCAACTTATTTTCATCAATTGTTTTTTTGTCTGTGTGTATGCAAGATCTCATGCATCAACTAGAATAGATGCATCGTAACAATCGATGATATGCATGTAACACACATACGTGACATGACATGTGTAAAATGACATTAATAACATTATTTATTATATTGCATCATTTTATTATAACATCAATTTCATTTCAAATAATTGGCTAAACTCAAATAAATCAAAATTTCAAGTAATGACATAAAATCTATGGAAATAAATACATAAAACCCCTTAAAACATCTATTGGACCCTATCTTAGCTCGTGAATTGGATCATCTATGCTAAACTTCCCAGGAAAAGCACCAGCATTAAACTTGGGCTCTGTTAGATAAGACCACCTGTGAGCTACATGCATTTGATCATATCTAGTCGCATCAGACCCAATCATGTCACTCATATCTCTTTTTCTTTTGACATAAAAATTAAATAAACAAATAATAATATATATACACAATTTTTAACTCATGCAATGTAAATTTTTTGATAAAATAATTATAAGCTTTCAACCATAAAAAAAATTTGATATTGATTAATACATTAAAAATCCTATTTCTAACTTTAAATCTTAATATCATAATCGATGTCATTAAAGGTGATAATGACCTCTGCCTATGCTACCCTGGCAATCCTCCCGAGTCTATTCCCTCTCAAGCCAATGATAAGATACAAAGTGGAGTGTATAGATGAGATGTGGGTGAATCTTAATTGATGTGAGAAAATGTATTCCATGTTGGTTTCATGTTTAAATCATAACTAAATACTTTTTTTTTATTAATCAATTCTAAAGTAGGAAATAAATAATGATCGATAATATACCTTCATAAAAAAAAAATTATAAAGTTAACAATGATCGATGAGTGGTATACCAAATTTGATTTTTTTTTTTTCAAATTAGGGAAAAAATATATATTCGATAAAATCAAAGTTTAAAAATAAAATAAATGAAAAAAAAACATGAAAATAATTATAGTTGATACTGGGGCCCCTTGGGTTGCTTAGGGATCCATTACAGGGAGTCCCATGTGGTATTCTCTTCTCTCCCCTAAGCTTGTTGAAGGATCCATGGTGATGGGATGGAACAAAAACATTTCGCTTTCGGGATTTGCACCTCTTTCACCAGCCACCTCGTCCATGGAACCGCTGCCAAGATGGAGAGAGTATATCCTCCACTCAATCTGTAGAAAGATAATGTCGAGGTCAGGGTGGAATCCGAGCGGCAAGATGGAATAGACCCTTTGGTTGCCCTCATGCTTATGATGTCGGAGTGATTCCTTGTGCTGTTTGATCAGAGGTTGGCTACTGCAATTATGCGTCGGCTTCCACACTCTTTTACCATCCTCTCTCTCGAGGATCCAGATGTGTAGCTCATGCTCATCGCAAAAAGCAAAGTGAGCGAGCCCACGAGAGACTCCCATGAGACTCCGAACCCGTCCGTTCCTTCTTTCATTCAGTGCTGAACTAATCAAATGATCTTTCTTGTTCTCTTGGATGACGCACACTTTTGGGTAATTATTGTCAAAAGCAACGTCGTAAAGATCAAACGGTGGTGGTACGTGCGGGGGTATCTGATAAATGTGGTGGGACTGACCCCTGTTACCGTACAACACCGTACACCAGAAATTCGACTCGGCACCCAATTCATTCAACCGGTAATCCTCGAAGAAGAGGAGGCACTTGAAGCTACGGGAGGCTCGATGGGAGACCAACTTCGCTGAGATAAATTTACGTTGCAAGGGTAGTTGTTTGACCGCTGTATTCATATGGATGGTCACCCAGTTGATCTCGTCATTCCGGAACGGGTTGCAAACGATCATCGACTTATAACTCCTGTCTTCCCTGCAACCGAGGAGAAGCAAACCGTGGCAGCTATCCAATAGATTCAAGTTGCGATGGTCAGGTAGATGAGAGATGAGCTTGTGGAGATCGAAGCGGTGATCTTTAAAAGGGTGGATGGCCGCGTACTGCCAGGACCGTGCGAGGTGGCTTCGTCGATAGAAGAAGCCGCACATGGTCGGACATAGGTATCTGATGGAGTACGGGCCGCGATCGGAGAGGAGGGCAAGCCACTCTTTGGAAACGCAGCGGAACCGGAGGGTGGACTTCACGGGTAGTTGGGAGAGTATCTGAACCAGCAGGTCATCAGGAAGACTATATCTGCTACACTTGCCGTGGCAGAGTCGCCTCTTTCCTATCTTCAACGAGGTGGTCCTGGCGGCCATTCTCTTCATCTTCTTCTCCATCTCATGCATGTTGGTACAAACCACGAAGCATGCATGTATTATATAGATGATTCTGTCAAAACAGACATGTGACGTATGCGTTAAAAGATTAGGAACACTTACGTATTAAGGGAAAAATTAAACCCATATGATTAGTAACTAATTATTGTTGTCCATGGTAAACGTAAGATTGAGGACTAATTATGAGACTACCTCCTGTATTTAGACCATATTAGTATTGTAATCTTTATATTTAAAACAATTTATATTAATTTTTTTATAATTCTAAAAATAAAATAAAATAATCTAATATATCTTAACGTCATCAACTGTATTGACGAAAAACACAATACATGACACTACGTACTTGTTCGGTGCAAAAATAATAGAGAAAATGATAATTTTAATATTCCATATGTTAAAAATGGAAGAGATGTTAAAATTATTTTTTTGTTTATCATTTTCGTACTGATCTATTACGTGGTGTCAAGTGTTATTTTTTTGTCAATGCAATTGATGATGCTAGGATAAATGAGATTATTTTTTTAATTTTAGAACTATAAAAATTTTAATGTAAATTTTTTAAGTATAGAAATCATGATACTAATAAAGTCCAAATATAATAGATAATATGTAATTAGTCTGATCAAGACAAGTATACATAAGACTCGATGCCAAACAAACTTAAAAAGTTAAGATAATTCAATTATAGGCCAAGTCCATTATATGTCATCCGGACTTTTTCTATCAATAATATATTTTTTTTCATCCACCTCTTTTCATCTCACATATATAATATCAATAGATATGATAAATATTTTGTTAGAAAATGGAGTAGCTACATAATTCTCCTAACACATACCATATGATAGTTTTTTTTTAAATGCAACATTTAAAAAGAGAAAAACTGATATTCAAATTATTATATTTGAGTCAAAATAAATATTTTATTTAATGGATAATTAAATCTCAAAACACAAAGAGCAATTATGTGAGGAGCTACAATAGAGGCAGCTTGACGGGTAAGGTTAATGGCAAAATTAACAATTTCTTTTTAATCTTTCTCATTTCAAATTAGCAGTGCTTTCATCGAGACCAGCACTTATGCCAGTATGATCGATTTAGAAATATTATAGCGTATAACTTTCTTCAAATGAGGTATCATTTAACTTACTACTGTTATGTCTCTACACAATTTTATTCAAATAAATCTTGTATGTGGTTTAAGTGAAGTCACTTTGTCTATGAATATAGTAGTTGTATGTGTCAATTTATCACACATTTTACTAGTGTAATTGCTCCTTTAGCAGTAACTCTATTCCCATTACTGATGCTTTTGATTCACGTTGGAGTTACTCTGATGTGTTTAAATGATTTTATTGATTTTATACTAAGTTGATGTTGGATTTGTGTGGAATGCGACTCAAGTTGAAGTCAAAATTGGGGCTCCAAATGTTGACTGCTAACCACGCGCCACCTCCCTCGACCAATTCTCACTACGGTTGATTGGGTGTCGAGCGGCTACGGCCCTTCCCCTCTCACGAGCGTAACGCACGGCGACGAGGAACGGTCGAGGGAGGTAAGGAGCCGTCGGGCCAGCTTACCTCACTTGCGGGCGTAACGCCTAGCGAGCCCACCGTCGGCCAAGGTTTCACCCGCTCCTATCAATGGAGCTTCGAGGAACAGAGTGAGAGTGAGACGTGAGAGAGTTCCCATTGCTCCGGCGCCAAATCCGACCAAGTTGACCGCCTCATCCTTGTCTCCGACGTCGAAGCATCTTCTCTTTGACTTCCGGTCGTCGATCTCCATCATCGGCCACAGGGTGCTCGTTGCAGCAACCCAAGAGAAAGAGGACGTTGACTCCGATTGAAGAAGTTGACTGTGGTCAACAACTTCGGTCATCTTTTGGTCAACAGGGGTAATTTTAAAATTATGATATTATTATTACTTCCTGTTTTGTTGTATTTAGGCAAAAATTTCCAAGTTTTTTAAGGAAAATTAGTTTTCATGTGACTATATGATCCAATTTTATTATGTTTTTTTTTTCTCGTGGATGTAAGAACGATATTGAATTGTTTATGTTTATTTTGTATTGTTTTCATATGATTTTTTTCTGACTTGATCCATATCTCGTGACTCTATAACTACTATATATTTTTTATATTTTGGTTTTTGTGTTAAACCAATTTGATCTACTTTATTAGGTATTATTTTAGTATTAATGATTTGCTTATTGTTACCTAGAAATCGAATCTCCATTTTATTAAAAATAAAGATACATTTCATGAATATTATATCTACTCTTCTTCTAATATCTCTTGGAGAAATATAAAGATTATTTTCATGATGAAAAATTATGTCTGTATCTTTTGGTATGTTCATGCTTTGCACATCCTATTTTAGTTGGATTTGGTGGTCGTTTTAAGCTTATAAATAAAAATTATGTCACGTGGTTACTTGTGATAGATATTCGATCTGTAGTGAACCATTTGGATTCTTTGTTATGCAACCGTTCAAAGCTTGTAAAGTCTGTTTGTAATTTGCATTGGCTATGAAATATTTTCTGAAATGTTTCCTTGTAGATCCCGAGTAAAATATTTTCTCTAATCCGTTTTCTCTTTTGTAGGTCTTAAGAGATCACGAGAGGTTTCAAGGAGGTTGACTTTTACGGATACATCACACGACGTAGGCAAAGCTAACTAAATCCAGATTGTCTTAAAGCAATTAATCTATGTAAATACTGAATTTCTCGCAAGAGGTTGAAGGTGGACTAATAGGCATTGATGTGTCATTCTAGTTGTTCACTAATTTCCACGTGGTTTTCGGTATCGATGTATACTCAACTCATATATGAACCGCCTCTTCGATCGCCTCCAATCACCAATTATAGCCAAAGAGCGTCTTGTAATTGTCTCAACACGTGACAATAAACTATCGCTGACAACAAATAGATTCATTCGGCTTAAATAAGAAATGCTTATATTGCCAATATATCAGTTAGCCAAAGAGTCATGAACTGAGCTGGATATGCGTATACCTCATTGTCTTCGATATAACAATTCCTACGGTCGTACCATTATGGCCGCGAAAAGAGAAATCCCATGTGACAGTAATATTTTTCGTCACGAACTATCGTCAATGCCATGCGTTCCTAATTCCATTTAACATAGACATTGTCATAGGATCTGGCAACATGATGTGGTGCTCGGCACACACACATCTTTGGTTTTGCATGTATTACAGTATGAACCAACGAATGCTACCGAGATTGACCGTAAATTAAGGTATATACTCTTACTGTAAGTAAACGAATGTTCCACTCAATTTTCTTACAAGATGAGAAAAATGTTGATGAATTTATTATTACCTCAAAATACATTTAATAAATTCATCAAACAAATGTATTTTCCGGAAGTACTTCACCAGTGCAGGATTTCTACCTCGGTGGACCCACGCCGTTCCCTTTGAACCTTTATATTCTTAAACCTTTGAACAGCTCCGTCGGTTCGTCCCGTTCCCGGCCAACTCTGTCCTGATGCGACGCTACGGTCTTCTCTGCGCAGAGAGAGCAGAGGGTGAGAGTGAGCGAATAATTGAGCTGACAAGATCGTTGGTGCCATAAGAAGCTGAAAGCTGGGGCGTCTAGAGAGACCTTCGAGCAAAATTTTCAGCTTTTGATGGATCCGGAGAAGGGCTCTTCAGAGGATAAGCAAATGGCATTTGTCTTGATGATACCTGGGGAAGGAGCAGCTGCAGCTGCTGCTGTAGCTTTAGCTTCTTCTGGAGAAGCTGTTAGAGACCCAAAGGTGGAACCTTCGGAAGAATTCTCCAGTGACGCAAACGCTGGTGAGCGCAAATCCCCCTCTCGAACTGGAAGCGTTTCCCCTGAGATCGCCGAGTCTTCTTCCCTCCCCAAGAAGCCCCGCCGACCTCCCCAAACCCAGTCCCTCGTTCGCCGGTCTTCCATCTCCAAGCCCAAGTCCAGATTTGTCGACCAATGCCTTCCTCCAGCTGCCATATCGGTCGGTGACGGTTGCTCGTCGGCCTATGATCGGGTGCTGGGCTCGCCGCACCATGGCTCCCCGAATTCCAAGGCCTTTGGCCTTCTTACGACTCCTTCACATGCCGAGGACGAAGAGGAGGAGGAGGATGACTTTAAGAAACAACAGTTCTCAGATGGTGGGGCGGCGCGGAGGAAGTGGAAAATTAGGGTCTTGATTGAGTGGGCGATACTCATCCTCGCAATGGCCTGCCTGGCTACGAGCTTGACAATTAGCCGGTTGCAGGAATTCGTAATTTGGGGATTGGAGATCTGGAAATGGTGCTTGATGGTCATAGTAATCTGTTGCGGCCGATTGGTGACATATTGGCTTGTCACCATCGTCGTGTTCTTGATAGAAAGAAACTTCCTTTTGAGAAAGAAAGTATTGTACTTTGTCTATGGATTGAAGGACTGCGTTCGGATCTGCATTTGGTTTGGTCTAATTTTAGTTGCTTGGAGCGTGATATTCTGTCAAGGAATTCCAGGATCACCCAAGACCATGAAAGCTCTTAATTATGTGTCTCGTGCACTCTCTTCACTACTTATTGGGTCGGTGTTGTGGTTGGTGAAGATCCTTTTGGTGAAGACACTAGCTTCCAGCTTTCATATGAATACATTTTTTGATCGAATCCAAGAGTCCATCTTTCATCAATATGTGCTACAAATGCTTTCCGGTCCACCACTAATGGAGTTGGCTGAGAAGGTAGGGGATGCAAGAGTTACATCACACTTGAGTTTTAGGAGCACCAGAAAAGTGAAAGGCAAAGGCAAAGAAGGAGAGGGGATAGGGGTGATTGATGTGAGAAAGCTTCAAACGATGGGACACAAAAAAGTGTCAGCTTGGACTATGAAGGGATTAATCAATGTGATCAGGGGTACAGGTCTTTCGACAATTTCCAATAGTATAGAGAGTTTTGGTGAAGAGGAAAGTAAGCAGAAAGATAAGGAGATAACTAGTGAATGGGAAGCAAAGGCTGCA